CACCTTACCACTTCAGCGCTAGTTTAACCGTCTTTCTCGGTCACTTGTGCAGGGCTCCACCATGGCAGAGCGTAGGGGAAACTGGGACAAGGCAGAGGACGACCTGCCGGTTTACCTCGCCCGGCCTGGCACGGCTGACCAGGTGCCCCGGCAGAAATACGGAGGCTTGTTTTGCAATGTTGAGGGCGCATTTGAGAGTAAAACCATTGACTTTGATGCCCTAAGCGTCGGCCAGAGGGGGTCCCGCACCCCGAGGACCGCCCGACGGGAGACCGGGCAGGAGGCGCGGAGCCCGGACAGTGACAGGAAGGTCTCCCCTGTGGAGGAAAGCCCCGCAGCCAGCAAGCAGGGAGGGAAACACTCACCTCGGCTTGAGTTCAGTACCAGTGGCAGTAAAGAAGTGCTGCAGAACCTGGGGGATGAAAAGGTAAGAAAGTTTTGCCTGAATGGCAACAGACATGACGCAGCATGTGTCAATGACAGGAGTGGTTTCTAAAGTGTGTATCACTGTTATATGCTTATTTTCTCATCCTGTACCCGTTTCTTCGTTGTTGCTGCAAAAAATATTCCATATGAATTATAAAACAATACTATGAAAGATAATACAAAATAGAAACTGTACAGTATGTATACTTAAAACATTTTTGAAATTGCAGCCCTAGCACATCCACCTTTTTAAAGCCTGTACCGTATAAGGCTAGACTTATGCTTAATGCATTTTATGAACTGATTATTACTAAATTGTTATTTGTAAATTTGTCACAACTCACACACCGCCCCATCAATATATTACATCAAAATACTGATTGATACAAATAAATCTGAAAAAACTCATTTTGGAATAAATTCAGCCCCTTAACAGTTCATCATCATACATGTATAATGTATATGCATTGAAACCCAAAGAGTATGAACAAAAGATTCAAACAGCTATAAGTGGAGCTGAAGTGTGGTTCACACATTTTGGGATCTGTCACTATAGGCCAATTAAAGCAAGAAGCCAAAGATATGAACAAGTGATATCATCATAAGGTACTGAGAGAAATCATAGTAGTATACATTCTAATTAGTAGTTTCTTGCAATGTGCACACATATGATTGCTAGTACTTATCCAAGGCAATAGGGAAATATGAACATTTCCTTTCTCTAAAACCTGCAGCAGTTAAAAAATATACACTTCTAAAATGCGTCTGGCGGCTAACAACTTAGAAACACCTGGTGCTGCCGAAGAAATCTATATATATAGTTAAACCCATGCCACAACAACAATTAATTAGAAAGAGCGCTACAATATTTGTATAATATGATGCATAAAACAAACTGTTTTTAAATGTTTTTGAACCATTTTGAAGGAAAAGTTGCAAAACGATACTAAACTGATTTAGGGCAGCAAAGTTGGAAATGTTCATACACTTAATTATTTACATACAAAAAAGCTATAACATATAACTTATTAGTATGCCACCTGTTTTGATTAATTATATTCACATAGGGATAAACTTTATTTTGCCTTAGGGTGAATTTGTCCTGGGCAGAGTGCTTGAGTCCCTTGCCTTACTTAAAAAACATCACTCAAACTGAACATTAAAGACATCGTGAATCTTTAAAAATAAACCTTGTGAATTTATTGCACTGGGATTTATAATTAAAGTTCAGCAGCTTGATGGAGACAGGAAGACATTTTTACTTTATGTCTTTGGTTTGGATGTTTTGGCACACTCAGTATTCCTCAAGATGGCAGAGGTTCATATTTGTTTCTGACCCAAAAGTGTAGTCACAGTTTTTCTGCAAAAAATGTTTATAGAAGAAGAAAACGGGCTGATTTTATTTGTATGTGTTGTCAAGCTGGCACACTAAATATTTACTACACCGGCTGTTAAAATATTTGTGTTGAGCAGGAACGTCTTTTCTTCTAATGCCAGAGTGAGATCACTTTCTGGGCACAGAAAGATGATGATTCACGTCTCTCTTTCTCTCCCTCTGGCTCTGACACACACAAACACACTCACAGTTTTGGCTCAGAGAGAAAAGACGACATTAGACAAAGTGAGGATAATCACAAGTTAGTCATTGGGCTGGCAACACATACATCCTGTACTCATTTTAACACATGAATGGATATATTTTTTATAAATAACAGGAAAGAGTTAAATATATTTTAAGTATCTGACGTAATACAGATTGTATTGATTTAAAGGCAGCTGAATCTATAATTTCTGAAAACCTACAAAAAGGTGAAACATTATATCAAATATATATACCATAATTATAACTATATACTATAACTATAACACCCTATATTGCAAACCCCACTTTGCGTTTCTTCAACCTTTTGCTTCATCCAAGTTTAATATTAGAACAAAAATGTCTGCTGCTGTTTCTGCTGTTGACAAGATTTATTAGGAGACTGTATGAAAATAGTTGTTAATTTGTGCAAAATAAGCCTTAACTGGCACAGTCTGTCATGATCTAAACTGTTTAAAATATATTTTTTAAGTATGTACTGTACTGTAGACATCTTCAAAATGGCATGGAACAAATTACCCCCCTCATGTGGCCTGACAGTGAACTGTACAACTGTGACTGCTGACTCCTGAGGGACAGATGATTCAGCATAATCAACAGACAGTTTTTTTGTTGCTTTGTATTGAAAGTGTTTGAGAACATCAGACTGACAACAGAGTCAGGACATGCTTACTCTTCTGACTGTCTGGATGTTCGTCATGGCTAACCTCAAACAGTTTATGCAAACTAATCAAAAGCTGACAGATGTCTGACCCTCTAGTGTTCCAAGTTTCAAGACGATTTGAATGAATTCAAAATGATTTTACATCATAAGGCTGCAGTTTTTTTTAAAGCCTGTTAATTGTTAGGGTTCATATGGGAATATTTATTGACTTTGTCATATCATAAAAATTGGTTTCCTGTCCGGTAAGGTAATTAGTGCAATCAGCCTCTCTAATGGTGTGAAGAATGGGGAGTGGGTAGCCAGATGTCCGGATGCCCCCACGCCCCCCCTCCTTTGTTATCATGCGGGGTGGCGGTCAGACTGGGAGGAGCAGAAAAAACGATTATACTATCGTGAAATATTGGAAAAACCTGCGTTTAACCAGTAAAATAAGGAGTGGTTGTTGAGCTGCATTATGGGATATGTAGGCTACAGGGACAAAGGATATCTATGCTTCAGTGTTGAGTCCCCCAACATTTATTTTTTCTGGAAATGCTTGACTTTATTGCAGAAGGAACACTTTAATGCTTACCCATGTATGTTGCCTCTTTCAATTCAACCAGAGCAGAGAATGTAATTGCATAAAACTTCAAAAACATCCTATTGCTCGCTGTTCATGCTTACTGTATGTGATTAGTTAATGATGTAATTCAATGTGATCGCTGGTTATTTAAGGGAATGACTACCTTTTCCTCTGGGGACACCAGGGTGCTGAGTGTGCTGGCGCAGTTATGATGACCTGACAGTGTTTTCTGCATCGTTGATCTGTCTACGCCCTGTCTGTCTATCTGTGTCAGCTGCTTAATGTGGGCTGCAGCGGTAGCAGGTCTGCAATCTTGAAGTGTGTTGTTAATGCATTCTCAAAGTCCTGTGAATGCTGAGGTAATGCCTTCCTAACTCTCCGCCGTAAAAGGACATGTCAGTATGCAGTTGTCATCTTGCAGCCAAATGCAGGAGGAAAACATAGGTTATTAAGTCATATTGAAAAATAATATTGAATATCCTCCTAGCATTTGTAGTTGATTATGCACATACATAAAGCATTGCCACAAGTACATATTTGATCAAATGACGGACAAATTATTAAACGTTTCTGTTTTGATTTTAGGCCTTAGCCCTATATTGAATATACTGTATATCATAATGTTAAACTATAAGGTCAAATACTCTGCATCCTGAAAGTAACACAAATTTATTTAGTGTTTGTTGAATGTTTGTAACTGGTAATGATTTCTGAAATATATGCATCTGATAAATACGGTTGGTTTTTACTTAAAAATGTACAAAATAAATCATTAGCTTACACATAAATCAAATATACTTGCTAAACATATGTTGTTTATATTTTGCTTAAAAACCTTGAAATGTATGAAATTAATTAGCATATTTAAGTGATGGTAGTAGTACACAAGACTAACACACACAACACACACACACACACACACACACACACACACACACACACAGCACGCAGGCAGGCAGGCAGGCAGGCAGGCACGCCCTGAGTCACGTGCGTGTCTTGAACCTATTATGTGTGCATTAGTGCTGAGAGAAGGAGTGGTGGGGCAAATGACCGGAGTTAAGGGGGGGTCCACTTTAGGTCCAAACAATAGAGACACATGGCTGGGTGGGGACATGCAGTGTGTGTGGTGAGTAGACATGTGGGGTGTGTAATGCGGTGGGCAGGCTCTGTGACAGCTGCTACACCATTTCTGCCCCTCCTTTATGTTCAGAAAAACTAAATCTGTAGGTAATCATTTGTAAAATGAATGTATTATACAATTGAATTATTGCAAACATTTTACAATTTCAAAATCCCTTCAAGAGATACATTTAGTCATTTATTGTCCGTCTTATTATACACAGCCCTATTCATTCAGTATTTTATAAATAATTCGATCTACTCAATAACTAGAATGATGATGGTGATTTACTGCAGAGTTTAGAGAGTCCTGCTTGTGGTACTTCCTATGAACATAGTGCAAATTCTCTTCTAACAAATCTTTATTGATTCTATTCTGATTAATTAACTCCTTAAGGGCTTTCACACTGATGAACTTATAAAGAATAGAGCACAAACCGGTTAATGTAAACCTTAGTTCAGATACAAAATTGCAGATGATGTCACATATATGTGCAAGAAAAATGTGTGACAGCCCAGTAATGCAGACAACTGGATGCAGACTGTTGAGCAGCTGCTCCACTGCGTCCTCCAGTGGAAAGATTGTGACACAGCTTCTCTCCAATTGATCATTTGAGGGAGGGGCCGGTGACTGAAGAACAGACGCTCCTATAGCACTCTGCGAGGCACTTTACATCGCACTAACACAGGGGCGACCATTCCCTGCAGCATCCGAAGAGGGGGAATACCGTTTTTCAAAGCTTGATTTTGAAGGTGGAATCGGACGAAACATGTCTTACCAAGGAAAAAAGAACATCCCAAAGATCACAGTGAGTAAAACCGCTTATTTATGCTTAATTGAATGGCAAACTTTAAACCCATCTTCTGCAAATCACTGCGTTTCAGTGTCTCGCGCTGCCGTTTCACAGCGATGTATCATAAACATAAATACAGCAACCAGCACGTCTCGGGTCTTTTCATTTTAATTTGTATTGTCAGACTTGACCGCATGAAGCCGCAGGAAAAAATACGCACCGTGAAATGGCACGAGTGGCTGCCATAGTGACAGGCAGGCGGAGAGATGAGGCGTTTCCTTAAAGGTGTCCTGCATCTTCTTTGTTGAGAGGATCCATGCGTGGGGCCGAACCGGCTCGCCCATAAAAACCCTTGTAGTGTTTCTGCAGGGACTTCTGTGCATAGCTGTTAATTATGCAGTTGGGTAGCATGTTATTAATGTGCGTATTGCATTATTGTGGAATTAATTTAATTATATCCCACCTACATCCCAATTACATTTTCACAGAAAAAAGACAAGGTTGATATAAAGATGATCATTATGTATTAATCCTGCTTTAGCCTTTTTGACAAAAATGTGTTCAGCCCTGTCACATTTAAGGAGATTGTTTAGGGCCTCACATGCATGGGAGACAATTGATCAGTAATGGTAGCCTACCATCATTTTCAGCTTCTCTGCCATTCTGATATTTTATGTTTTTAGTGATGTACTGAAGTATTCTTATAATAGACTTCATTAGCCTTATTATACTCTCCTGTAGCTATGAGCTGGCAAACAAAGACAGACAAAAGGGTTGTGCGAAATTACTTGGGCTTCAGATAACTGTTTCCACAAAGTGTCCTATTTATTTTAATGAAAATAACTAAACATGTTCCACCTACAGACAAGGCCTACTGTTCATATTGCACGCTGGTGCAGAGGAGAGTGAGAGGAGAAAAAAATACACGCCCATTTGCAATGAGCTGGGATAAGCAGGCCTTGTGATGGGGCGCTTGTATTTTTGCATCATGGGAAGAAGGGATATTCAAATTGGAGGCAGAGCATCGGGGGTGGAGGTTGAATCTGGAGCAGGTTGGTGTAACACAGCCAGCCGGGAGCTGGTGTGTGTTACAACTGCGGAGAAACCTCTCCCTCTCTCCTCTCTATCTCCTCTCTCTCTCTCTCTCTCTCTCTCTCTCTCTCTCTCTCTCTCTCTCTCTCTCTCTCTCTCTCTCTCTCTCTCTCTCTGTGTGTGTGTGTGTCATGCATGCCTTCCAGTTCCATTGTTGCAGCACAGGCTGCAGTCAGGGGTGTGTTGCCTGGATGTGCAGACAGCCTTTGTCTCGCCTCCTCAGCTGATATTACACCAAAGGGGGTGTTTTTGGTAATACTTGGGTAGCTTGAGCCTGTAGAGGTCCTGCATCTATATTCTGAGAACAGTACCTGTATATTATTAGTCTTAAAGTAGGCCATGTCCCTATAATATGCTAAAGTGGGCCAGATTTTTCCATGGCAGGTTTTACACAGTCATTAGGGATGGACATTTTAACAACCCCTACAGAGGTTGCCTTTTTTCTCAAGCCTTCCTTTATGGTAGAATCTAAGGATGGTTACATGCAAATGGCATGCAATTTTGGCCAAAACTCCCATATTCACAGAGTGAGGGATGCTGCAGCAGAAAGAAATAGGCTCACCACGAAAATATATGTGAACTCGCCATAGATATTTTGATATGTACTGTGGCAAAAACCAGAAAAAAAAAACTGTTTGGGTGTCCCTGTACTTGTTGTACTATCACTTAAATACAGATTAAAATTAAAAAAAAGATATCAGTGGGGAGATTGCTGTAAGATTAACTTCATTCCTTTATAACCAACATAGGTATTAGACTGCATTTTAGCTGTTACCGAAGTACAAAGTGTCTCATTGATAAGCAGCAATAAAGTGGCTTAACATTGACTGCTCAGTTCAGAGGGAACAATTTCATTGGCTTTCAAACATGATCTGATGACAGAGGCCATTTTATTTTGGCTTTACCAACTAAATCAGTATTTTCCCATCATATCATTGTATCCTGTATTTTTCCTATGAGTTATAATCCTTGACATAATTCCTTGTTGAGTTTATGATACTTGTGGTTACTGATGGTCATGGCAAGTGTGTTTAAATAGACATACAAATAGCAGATTGCTCTCTTATCATCACATTTGGAGGACTTATCATCCACCTTGAGTTACTAAAAAATACAACATAATAACTATATCATGGGTTTATAGTGTGCCCAACGAACTGAAAGGATTAGGAACGTTGGTTCAGTAATAAAGAAAGCAATGTCATAAACATTACTTAAATTACAACATCACCAACTGTTGTCTTCTACATCACATTCAGTATGTGCATTAATCCTCTCTGTAAATCCCTTGTGCGTCAAAACGCAATTTGAATCCTGCACAGCCTGGCAGTCTCTGCCACTAACAGTGAAAACCACTATATAGAGAAGCAAAACCAGAATAGAGAGAATGCTGCTTGCTCCGTCACTGGAAATCAGCTGTAGTATTTCTTTATTCATGTTAAATTCAACAAGATACCAGTATTTATTGCAATACACCCCAGTAAGGAAAACAGTGGTGGTGTTATAAACCATTTACACTGCACCAACAACCTAATATCTGCTCATAACCCCGCTCCCCGGACCTTCCTTCTGTATTTCCATGCCTGCCCGTTCTATTCCAGCTGTTTCCTTACATCTGCTCTCTGCCAGTGGCTCTGTCAGATTTCTAGGCGCGGTTCCTCCTTTCTCTCATACCCACTCACAGCAGCCTCGGTGTTGTTCCAGGCCAGTACATGTCATCAGTAATCCCTCCAGCTGGAAAGAGCATCTGCGGGCATGAAACAGTGCCGGCAGACGGCGGCTCTGCACGGGAAATGAAGCCGGTTCCCCCTGTTGAATCACCACAAAACAGAGCCCCACCACACCACAGTGTGGCATCACCAAGTCGCGCGGTGCAGCAAAGTGGGCTTGAGTGCAAACAAAATACCCCGTGGCTGCCCAGGCGTTGCCGTGCGACTCACCATGGCGACCAACATACAGTTGCGATGGCAGGAAAATACAACCTCTGTTTGTTTGGTTGTGTGGGGATGTGATCTGACACACATTTCAGTCACACTCACACACTTCTCCGGGAGTTTATAATTCAACCTGGCTGGCTCAATCAGATCCATATGGAGTTTTCGTTTTCATGTTGCCTTGGTAACATGGTTACACTATACTCCAGCCCTATCACAAGAACAACATTCCAGACAAGCAGGATTTTTATATGACCCCGGCTGGCTGGCCTCCAAAGAGTAATTTAGATTGATAAGAAGCCTCATTGTTTTCACTTTTCCAGAATGTGAAAAAAAACCTTGTGCAGTTTTGGGTAAAGAGTAAATATTTTTGCTCGCTAGGCAACAGGCCTGAAGCAAAGCAACTGGTGCACATTCAGGATGACTTCCCTCTTCCACTGGTCCCCCGCCTGCCTCCCCAACGGCTCTCCCCACCCACACAAGGGTCTCGGTCAGAGCTCATGGAGGTCTCCTCTAATGTCCTCTAAGCCCCTGTTTCGTAGACACACACTTTTACAGGACTGCTTATTAAGCACTGAGGAGTGGCTACTTATAATTTGCATCCTAGTTTATGAGCTTCTCTCTCCAGTCTGGTTGGAGTGGAAAAAAGTTGTCAGCATTCAGTAGTCGTACAAGAATAACATCCTGTCTTCTATTTTAGATTATTGGCTTTTGTAGCAGAAAATGACAGCTTCCTGTGCAGCGAGAGTTGTTTTATTTGTGGTTCTTTGTTCTCCCTAAGAGTTGAAAGACATGATTTTTTCTTCCAGCAGTCCCGTATTCTCCTTTGTTGTGAGACATTTATAAGACGAGGTTGTCAGCAGTAGAGGGATAGTGCAGAAGCAGAAAGTGAAAATACTTTTTTCCAATAAGTTAACATTTGAAAATGCATCAGAGGGGCAAAGCAGGCAGCACACACTTTACTAAACCACTTAGATTTAAAGTGTCATTAAATATTAACGACACACGCTAGCTTTTATAAGCATTTGTGATTAACCTCAGTTGGGACGACTGCGTGACGTGTGTTAAAGCTAATCCTCCGACTGTCCGAATTGTCACCCACGCACACCCATGGAAAGGAAGATAAGTAAGAAACAATTGGGATGGATAGAGCCATAACAGTCTCTGTGTAAAGTTACTGTTTTACATTGTTTTCCCCAAACACACATACATACATTAGTTTAGTGTTTATTACCCATACAAAATATAACAATACAAAAACCCCTCTTGAGCTGTCTCAATGCTGCATTTATTTTCCATGTTACCACCATTCAGGTGGAACAAAGGCACAATTGCATTATAATTCAATTGGAAGGTGCAAACGAAATGTTTCACTTTATAACTCGGCTTCATAGCACACATTTAGAGTTTGTCCCAGGTGTATGTTTGTTTGTACATACACAGAGCAAAACAGCAACACACAGCGACAACACAGACGTTTGAAGAGAAATTAGAGAGACTGAAGGAAAGTAAAAGACTCAAAGTTCCTAGTGAGTCCTTAGTCTACTGCCACACAGACACTCAACAACACATGTGTTGTTAGATAGCTGACTAGCTACTTACCTACTGCCAATGCCTGTACATTCAATATATTGGCTGTTTTTGGCAAACAAACACAGCACAAACTACAATGACCTCATTGTGCTTCTCATCATGGGAGTTTATTTTTCCCTTCCAAAAACTGGGCGCTGTTACAGCGACATGATTGACATACGAGGACATTGTCATTGACCATGGTAGGTCAGAGCAAATCAGGATCAACATCTTGCGGGAATATTCCAACCCGTTAGATTATAGCAATCTTTGTGTTGTAGAATACTACACAGTGTACAAACTATTAAAATGAAGTTTTTTTAGAAAGAAAAAATATGTCAGCTCTTCATTTGACCTTGATATGCTATTTGGCAATACACAACCATCTTCCTGATGTTAATGTAGGAGCTCAACTGGTTGAAATCAATGTCCAAGTAGGATGAAGGAGAAAGAGTGGACAACAATGAACTGAAATCAATATCCATTAGGGTTAAATGGCTAGAGACTATGGTCAGATCATGCATTTGCCACATCCTGTATACACGTAAGGATGCAACATTACAAAACAAAGTAGAATATCATTTTTGTCATTACATTTTCATTGCCAAAATTAAGGCTGAAACTGTTGAGGTAACTCCAAAAACCACATGATATCACCATGGATTTAACTTCCAAAACCCAAGTTGAGAGGGTTTCCTGGTGGTATGATTTCCAACACATGCACAGGAAGACCCATTTTACTATGTGTCATATCCCTGATTTTATTGTATTTATTGTCGAAATAAGGCTGAAATGCTGAGCTATCATTTTTTCGGAAAATATTACACAATCATGGATACATTATGAAACAATAAACAGTCTCTTGGCACATATTGATAATCAAACCATGGCAAATTGGGGAAAAGCATGCTATCACTTGTTATATTATCTATTAAATGTTGGAAGTGTAACATATTGCTGTTTGTGGTCAAATCCCATGAACACTCGGACAATTGGCAACCTTTTTGTCATAGATTCATGGAAAAGCCACAATTGAAATTCAGTCTGTATATAGTGATATATTTATGAAGTGAGATAAAGTAGGGATAATGAAAAAAACTCCTCTTAGATTATGTGTCTTTGAAAAGCTTGACAGTTTGGTGCCGCATACAGCCTTGACAAATACTACTAACACTTCAATTTAAGTTAAGTGTTTTTGAAATGTCTCGACATCTAGTTTTGGCAAAACTCACGTCTGGTATCACAGTCATAACATTTCATTATTCATGTCACTGTCGGATGCTCTAATTGAGAAAAACTGAAATCAGCAGAGTGACAGATGCTGGGATGGAATGGAAATGGAAAGCTATTGATTGTCAAATGATTGTCTTCTCTTGCATGCTGTCATGGGCTAGCGGGGAGAGTAGGCAAAAATGTGTTGTGTGTGTGTGTTTGTGTGTGTGTGTGTGTGTGTGTGTGAGTGTGAGTGTGAGGGAGTGAAAATGCAGAGGCACTTGAGTTAGGCACCCATGCATGAGGGCACACCCCCTTGCTGCAGTACTGTAAATCAGAAACACATCTTTACATGTCTGATGCCAGCAATCCAATTTACAACTTACAATTATTAAATAACACAGAGAAAAGCAACAATTCAACAAATCTTTGAAACAGGGAACAGTGGACGTTAGGTATTTTTACTTAGGTAATCTCTAAACTTAACTAATTAATAATTCATTTCCAAGTATTGGCGACTCTGGCACTTATCATTTTAAATACTGACTTATTTTTGTATCCAAAGGGTTTATTTTATTCAGTCAGACTTCAACATCTATAAGTGTTTCCCTAAAAGAGGAGTAATGAAATCAGGCGAATGCACTCCATATTCAAATTAAAAAAACTGGATTATAAAGAAATAATCTCTGAGATTCTGTAATAGGTGACAGTTTCAGGGCTCTACAGTATGATCTCTGCTGTGCTCCAGCCACTGATGACTGTGTGTTGTAATGTGTTGCTTCAGGGTGTGGTTTCCAGGGAAAGCTGGGCTCTGTTTCATACTACTCCATCACCATCTCCAACACACACACACACTAACACAGAGACACCAGAATACACACACACATGGTGTATGATTATGAGCTCAGCAGATATTGGGTTTGAATCATTACATACAGAACCATATTGTGCTTTTTCTTCCAGTTTCTGTTGTTTGAGGGAGTGGCTGCAGTTTGTTATAGTGATGAAACACCGGGTGCACAGCCAGGCTGTAAATCACTGCACACATGTGCTATTGGGAAAATATGGAAGTGTGTCCCTCTTAGCAGGGTGCGACCTGAGCCCTGCTGTCTCATAGTCTGTAAATGTATCACAGAGACTATTGTCAGTGAATAACAATATTATTATTGTTTTAAAAAACGAGTTATTCCATAAAGGTGGACTTGCATTTTAGACAGACGTTTGTTTCTCCACAATGAGGCAAGTTTAATTTTGCCTTGAATGAATTGTCTTCTTGTGCAGATCATAGATATTCTTCATATTGGGCTCTAAAGAAAGATTTGACTGTAAACCAAAAAGCATTTAACTCAAAATGGCGTCACAGACATTTTCTACAGTTAATTGTTTGGTTTAGGAGATATAAAAGACAGGAATAAACAAAATATCAAAAGCTTTAGGTGACGTCTTCAAGTATCTTTTTTTGGCCTAACCCTATCCTATTACCCAAAGGAAATCAGCTTGAGTCGATCACTGAGTCGATGAATAGACATATGGTTTAATCTCTAGACACTTTTGTCCTCTGAATTATTATTTTATCTTCACATTGAACCAACCCTCTATCTCTGCATCCCTCCTCATCGTTCAACAGCCTGAGGTAGCTGTCCAACCAGTCAGTTTTACCGGCCGCCCAGCCTCCCCTCCTTTTTAGTCTGTCTTCCTGCAGTCAACACGTCGTCATGACAACGCCCTGCTAGAGTCAGCCCTTGGTGCAGCAGCAGCAGATTCGATGTCTGACTGTGTGGCGTCATGACTACGCCCATATCACACCACATTACGAAATGTTAAGTTGAAGAGCCGATCAGATGTGACAACGCTTTGTAGTTTCATTTTAGCACTGCAAACACACTCAGTGATAGAGATTGTTGTTTTCTAATGCAGATTATAAAATATCCTGCTTCATAAAATAATGAATTTTGGCGATTGCATTTGGATAAAAGGATCGGATATAGAAAATGACATCCATGGCACAGTTGTTGCATAACTAAATCTGGATATACTTGGTTAAGATGTTAATCCATGATCAGTCCTTAAAAGCAGCTTCAGTTTCCTTCCAACAACAAAATATCATCGTGCCACATGTCACCATGAAGGACCCAGGTGATTTTACTGCAGAATGTAGGTTAAAGTTGAAGCTGCACGGTCTATCTTTATGAATACCTTCAGCTCAAATTAGATGTAATGCTCATAATTCGATCAGTAAATGAGAAATGTGCGTTGCTGAAAAGTAGTTGCTGATTTTTTGAAGATTCCCAGATTCAGTCAATATTGTATAGTTGTTCAAATAATCGATATATTATTTTTTATTGGAATAAAACTAATGATTTACACCCCTGAAAACAACTATAAGTCACTGCATTGGTTATAGACATACTACACATTGTCTGTTGTGGAACAGAGCTTGATGGGGCAATGCTTTTATTTGATAGACTCTCTAAACAACAATGTAGGAGAATGTCGAAGCAAATACGGATGACTTGCAGGGGGGCATCAAATCACGTTACTGCACAAGACCAGTGGGAGCCGGACAGGAAGACCGTCCCTCAGGGTTCATAGCTCAAGTGTACATGGTGTGTTTACATGGGACAAGACTGAGAAACATGTCTCTTCCTAGATATGAATGAGTTAGACAGGGTTCATCTCTTCAAGCTGGTAAAAAGGACATAATCTAGCAACAGAGAAATGGAAAAGCTCTGAATTATCAACAGAAATTATCTGGTTTAGTAGACTGTCCTCTAATTTGACTCGCTCACTTGAAAGTGTCTAAGCCAAACTCAGTCTATCTCATTGATTTAAAATATTTGTGTTTCTTCTTGTCCCTCCCCAATCTTTCCTCTACAGAGCGAGAGGCTTCTGGTCAAAGGCGGGAGGATCGTGAATGATGACCAGTCCTTCCATGCTGATATCTACATGGAAGATGGCGTCATTAAGTAAGTCCTCCTTTCCACTCTGCCTTTATTCATTCCCATTTAATTTCATCCCCCCACTCACTATGAGGTTCTTGATCTGTTTTCTATCTTTCATTCAACTTATTTGGAATGTAATTGTTACTTCCGTCATTTAGCTGTGAGAATGCAGATTGTGGTTGAAAATGTTTTAACGTACACAAAATCCTTATTGTCCAGTTTGAGTTTTCCCAAATCAATCAAAAACATTTGAGGAGATTTGGGACATCAATAGGAGTTCAAGTAAACAGCTTTCCAAAATCTTTACTATCACAGTTTATTTTAATTTGTCAGTAAATTAACCACAGAAAGTATTCATAAAAAAAACCCAACCTAAATGTAGCAGTCTAATAACTCCCCCCGCAGAATCCGTGATCTGGAGACTTTAATGAATAAATGCATGAGCACAAGCTGCTTGATCATGCACTCTATGTCCTGCAGTCCTTTTTCCATTGGGTCAAAGACATGGTGACAACAGCCAGTCTAGTCCACAATTTCATGTGCTAATATGAGCCTGTCGTCGTCCCACCAGACAGGGCGAGGGTAGTGTGGGCGAATTCCTCTCTGTGTCTCCCTCACTCTCATTCCCCCCAGTTCTTTTCTCACTTGATTATCCTGTTATAGGGCTTTTGTCCCCTGCTTCCCCTTAGTGAGGCAGCTCAGGGAGAGACACCCATGGAGGGCCTGGTGTTGCATAATAATCACCCAGATGCCTGCTAGACCATTCGGCTGTTGGCAAACTCACAGAGGCTTTGGCTTGTTCCCGCCTCTCTGTCCGTCTAGCACGTCCCCTCTATGAAATCTGAACAACAGTATTTTGTTTAGCAGGGGTGAAATGTTGATGGGACAATGTGCTGTGTCAAGCATGGCCGATGTTTGGGGTCAGTCATAGTTAACACATTTTGAAAGTCATTTTGTGACATCCCAGATTCAGATTAAATTCATTCTCTTTGCATAGCACCAACAGTGATAGGACCAGACAAAACATATATTTTAAAGGTCCCCTATTATACTATTTTTCATCAATATATTATAGTTCTCAGTTATATACAGAACATGTCTCTGAAGTGTTTGGCTCAAAATACCAAACATATCATGCATTGTAGCATCCCATAAACCCCTCTGTTTCAGCCCTGTTTCAAAAGTGCTGATTCTGTTAATTTAGATGAAAATAAGGAGCCCCTCCCCACGCCCCTCTGCGAGATATTTGGTTAAAAAGAACACCATGGTGCTCTAGGAGGAGATTCAGGTGATAAGGTGGGCGGGTGTTACCTTGGTTGGTGATTGGCTAATGGTTACACAAGCCAAAAAATCGTTATGAAATCATAAAGTGGCCAAAATCTGATCAGCTCATTTTCAGACAGGTTTTTACATAAATGGATCAGGAGAAAAAGAGAGCGAAACCTTTTTCCTGAAACGTTCAGAATCTCTTAACGCATTAAAATGACATGAAAAGTGGATTTTGCATAATACAGTAGGTGACCTTTCAACTTTTTTTTGTGGATGTAACATCCTATCATCCAATAATTGTGACACCATCCTTTTTGTTCCACAGGCAGATCGGCGACAACCTGATCGTGCCTGGTGGGGTAAAGACCGTCGAGGCCAACGGAAAGATGGTGATCCCCGGTGGCATTGACATCCACACCCACTTCCAGATGCCGTACCGTGGAACCACAACCGTGGATGACTTTGCTCAGGGATCCAAGGCTGCTCTTGCCGGTGGCACCACCATGATCGGTAAGAGCTGTAGGAAACTGTAGTGCCCACATAAAGTTAAAGGTTAGATAGAGACTGGAGCTAAAAAGAGGAAAAAAAAGGAGGGCTGGGACCAGAACAAAGGAAGAGAGGGGAAGCGATTTTGGTCTGCTTTTGGGCAGCTTTTCAAAAGAGGACCACACAAAAGACTGAGTGTAAGGGGGTAGGATCAGGAGAGGGGGGGCGGCTAGATTGAAACACTGCTCCCAGGGAAATACAGCACCAGTGTCTGCATGCTTCTTGTCTTTGTACAGCATGGGGGTGTATGTATGTTTCATGTAGCTAACAGTCCAGACGCTATCACGGCTAACAGCTGCTAGCCCCCACAGTCTGATTCATACTATCAACTTATTTTGAGCCGGCTGCTGCTCTGCTGCTTGTCTGGCAGTAAGTCGCTGTGTTTAAACGGACACATTCACTAACAGACGTGCTACTGTAGTAAGCCCTTTTCAGGGGCTCCATTCATTTAGGGATTATATTCCAGGGGGTGATGAGCGATAGAGAAAGTGAAGACTGCGTTTTATATCCGCCTGTGTGTATTGTATACTTATGTCTGTCGTCACTATCAAATTATGTTGTGTTTGTGTGACGGTGAACAAAAAAGTAGTTCATACGGTTAGCATAGTTAACGCCAGTGTTTTTTTTTAACTGCCGTTTCTAGCTTTACCCTATTAACATGCAAAGACCAGATAAGCAGATTGGCTCATCTTTAATAAGATAAAGATGACAGTCAGCTGGTGAGCCAGCGGGCCGTTTTATTTTATTATGAGTCAAATTAAGAGGGATTTTGTGCACAGTGATACTGTTGTGCTCCATGGGGATAAACCTAAATGAATGATTTAATTTAAAACCGACAAAAGATTTTATAAAAATAAACAACACTGGCATTTATAGAATAAAACCTGTATTCACTGTATTTTTAATATACACAGTAAATTATGGAAATGTTCACACATTATAAACTGTTTTCTTGTACTTTATGTGTTGTTATTGTAATCTTATGTGCTTGAGCATATTTCTTATCAATCATTTTGATCTTATGTGAAGAATTGTCTTTGAATCTGTGACGGATAAGAGTTTTAATCAATTTAAGTTCTATATCTATTAAACTATTGTAATAAAGGTTTCAGGCGGTAGGTTTGTTCTTGGAGGATTATTAGTTTTAAAATGTCCACTTAATCCTACTGCCAATAGACCAAAACTGTAACACAAGAACTCCCATATGTTTCAGTAACCAAAAGAGTGGGTGGTCCCGTTGGAAAAAATCTACTTAACTTGTGTGCCAAATTCTAATCTAACAAAAAAATGACCATGGTGACATAACAAAAACAAAAGTCTAAAAGTATCCACAGTTGGAGCTACCCCAAATTTGTCAAGGACACCAGCACCCAGACAAAGATGATGAAAATGTAATGTGACATCTGACAAGGTCGACCCCAATGGCTGAGCGCTGCAGGAAAACACAGCTGATTATGCAAGATAAACAATCCAGGAATAAAGTAGAAACACAAGCAAAGACAAATCCTGACACCACCCTGTCACAAATGACTCTCCCCACCCCACTCACGTGTTTATCATGAATTCAATTTCACCTGCTTCTCTCCTCTCCACTTCCATCACTCCCCCCCCCACCCCCCTCCTCCAGTGGACCACGTGATCCCAGATCCCGGCTGCAGCCTGATGGAGGCCTATGACCAGTGGAGGCAGTGGGCTGATGAGAAGTCCTGCTGTGACTACTCCCTCCACGTAGACATCACCCACTGGAATGACAGCGTGAAGCAGGAAGTGGAAAGCCTCATCAAGGAGAAGGGTAGGGTGTGATGGTGTACCTTAACATCAGCTTTATATCCACCTTTCAACTATTCAGGTTTCTCATGTTTGTTTCTATGTGTTGATTTCTTTGGTACAGGTGTGAACTCTTTCCAGGTCTACATGGCTTACAAGGACTACTACCAGATGAGCAACAGTGAGGTAAAATAGGCTACTTGATGTATATTTTATTTACGATAAATATTAAAGATGGGCAGAAAATCCAAAGGTCTTCTTTTGTGAATAAAAGCACAACATACAACAATTAAAGGCTTCTACACTCAGATTTAGTTGTACTTGTACAACAAAATTCCTTTTTGGTTTCAATAAAACTCTCACTTGCATCTCAGCAAGGAAACAGTCAGTAGAGACACACAGCTGACTAATTTAGGAAGATGTCCTCTTAATTTAGCTATGTAAGGGAGCTGAAGCCCTAATATTAAACGTGGAACACGTGGAACAAAGAGTTTGTTCTAGTTATTAATGGATCTCTTCATGGAACAGGGAAATGATTACAGCGTCCAAAATCTCTTTAAAAGTAGATAAACCGTTCATATAAGTATTTTTTTAGGACAGACCTATGAAATCCTTTACTTTAACATCTTCAGTTAAGTGTTTATGTTCATTTCAGCATGTGAGGCTACACCAGAAATCCAAAACATGGGTTGACATTATCTTGGTTTCCCCCTTATCCTTTTTAAGTAATCAAATAAGAGCAATTGAGAAGGAAAAACTGCATAGTCAGGAAGCATGAAAACAGCAATAGCTTGTAGCAAAGCAGTAACACAGTGTCTAAAAAGTGCGTAAATAATGACCTTTAGTTTGTGTCCTCCATAATACACACAATATGTCCAGCTTAGTGCAAAGTTAAAGAAAAACATGAATCATTTTTCTCCCTTCAAACACACTATCCTTATGTAACTCGTAGCCTGTGACGCTTGTGAGTTTGAATACTGTATGTTCATACTTTAATCTAGCTAGAAAATGTCGAAAAACAAAGTCCAGACGGTGTGAGGGAAGACTCTTCGTGTTTCTCATGCAGCCATAGCTAATTTGATCGTTTAGTGACGCGCATTAGGTAACTGAAACAGTCCAGCTTGAAAAACTGATGTCATGCAGCTCACTAAAAACTGTGGTGGGGAAACATTACAGCAACTGCAGCTCATCCCACATGAGTTTAATCTTTTCTAGAGACCACACACAGTAATTACAGCGTGTCATGGTAGACATCATGTTAATTGTGCGCTTACTTTATATCGTGGATTGAAGGGTGACCCCCAGAAAGAAAAGGAGTGTCTTATTATTGTGCCAGGCAGGATTTGAATAATGTCACTGTACATTTGAACTTTTTCTGTGTTTTTTCTCCAGCTTTATGATATCTTTTCCTTCTTGGCTGAGAGGGGAGGCATTGCTGAAGTCCATGCTGAAAATGGCGAGATCATCGCTGAGGTAAACATAAAGATAAATACACAGACAGATACAGCTCCTCCTCCCATTTCTCCCTTACTATAACCCTCTCTTTAATTACAAAACTGATGTCCAACTCAGTGATCTGTTTTGGTTAAGTATGATTTATTTTTAAGTTAAGTTCACTTGAGTTCACCTTTCTGGCTGAGCATTATCTCCACCACCTACACAGACTAAACACACTGCCACTGATGAGAGGGGGAATATGATTTCTGCAGGACAGTAATGTGTGGGTGTAGTTTACACAGGGCTCTGCTTTGGACAAATGAAAGTGAATGAACCGTAATAGTTGGTGGATTGAGAGGGTTGGTTATAAGTCAGAGCTCCAGACCATGCCTGGATTCTGTCACTGGGTGTGTATTTGTGTGTGTTGGCTCGGATCCATCCCAAATCCCAGATCTCTTATCCAGTCTTAAACTAGGATTTTGTGGGAGTCTGATTTACATCAGCTTTAAAAACCAAAATGTTCTAAATACCCAGATTATGTCATGACCTGATTTTACCTGAGGAGCTTTAAGAGAAAGAAGCCTTGTTGAGACCTATGTGCGATAAATAATGTTAGTGCTGGTACAGAGGACATGTTGTAACCAAGTTACAATCACCATGGATACATGCGGAAAACATTGACAACGTTTCTGAAAGTACAGTTCCTCTCAGGATCATCAGATGCACGCTTTAAGAAATCACTGACTTTCGCTTCCCTTTCTCCATGAGTTTACATAACTCTAGTACCATTATTTTTAACCAGCGTTCTATTTTTATAACTATGGCTTTTACAATTGGTCATGCTTACTTTCTTTAGAAATTCAAAAAAATGTAGAGGGAGTTAAAGTGGGTAAACAGTTAAATACAACTCAAGAAAGGGAGTCATTATAAGAGGTTGAAAATAACGTCATTTACTTTCTGGGCAAAGCATGTCATCGTGAAGCACCCATGAGGACCTGACAGCTTTTTAAAGGTAGATAAAGAACCTCAACAGTCAGGTTCCCACAGTACTCTGTGTGTGGCCTGATGTAGATGATAAAACTCTTACTCATATCTTTCACACAGGCAAGGAATAGAAGAAACTTCATATTATTTTGGAGTGTGACCAAGACAAATCAGCCCGAGCACTGAAACCACTGAACAATAAAAAAAATATTACCGATGAGCTAACAGCCTCCTTTGTGCTTGTTTTTTCAACAGGAGCAGGCCCGCATGCTGCAGATGGGAATCACTGGACCGGAGGGACACGTGTTGAGCAGGCCAGAAGAGGTACGATTCCCACGCTGTATACATCTTTGCACTAATACAAATAAATGATTTTTATGATTGAAATAGTCAAGTTTTGATACTTATCCTTACCATTTTTTTTTAGATATCACACTCACATTGTCCATGATACCGTTCTTGGACTTGCCTTCACACACATTGTTTTAATTTCACACATGTGGTTTAGAGAGAAAATTATCTGGTTTCTCCCAATTCTTGGTGCTTATGTTCCTTTAAAAAACAGTGAAATAAAAGCCACGTTCTTAACTCAGCAGCTCGTCTGCCTTTAAGTAGACTGGGACTTTCCGCCCTGTGGTGCAGCGGGGAAAAGTTGTCCCACCAGTCTCATACTTCCGTGCAGTTTAGTGGAGTCTTAGGAACAAAAATCTTCGGAAGTGAGCCGAGACCAAGATTGATTAGTGTTTTCTCTGTGTTCGGTGTCCGGTTTAGTTTTATTTTATTGCTAATCGGACCCAGGTTGAGGTTGTGGACTAGAACACAATAACACAAGTTTGGGGCATTAAAGAAACCCTCTCAACATCTGTATCTGTAATCATTGGCCCTCTACTGGCAGCTTCTTCAGCATTTTATGTTGGATGTTCTTGCTCAATCACAAAGAATATAAAATATAATTGGACATCTGAGACATCTAATATTAACAAGACATTACCCCAAAACAATTGGGTAAATAAGCATTATGCATTACGACCTCAACTAAGACTGTCTTTGGAGTTGTTTCCTAATAAAACAGACTTAAACTGCTTTTAACTCAATGTAAATAAATCCCTAGCCTCTCCAATTTGATGTTAACATTATAAGCTTCCACTTTCATTTTTGACTCCAACAATAGATTGTCTGCTGAGGTTAACATATTTGAACTCTTTTTGTAAACCACATATCCTGTCCTTTCTGTAGCTGGAGGCAGAGGCGGTGTTTCGTGCCATCACCATCGCCAGCCAAACCAACTGCCCTCTCTACGTTACCCGCGTCATGAGCAAAAGTGCTGCTGACATCATCTCACAGGCCCGGAAAAGAGGTAAACAGCTACTTTAAATGTCAACACACATTGCAAAACATATCTAAACCCGGTGTTTATATCCAAATGTGATAATCTAAAAATTATACTTTCTTGTTTTATTTAGCATGATATTTACATCCATGTGTTGTAGAAAGTTACTTTACTCATACCATGTGAACGACGTCATCACTAACAGCAGATTAGGCAATACAAATTGGAAAATGAAGGAGCAAATGTGAGAAGCCCTTAGTTCAGTGTATATTGCTTAATGCTGATCATCATTTCCGATTTATATTTGGGTATTGGCCATGTTATTTTGTGATAGCAGTGCTTTATTCCATTGTGTATTTCAGTAAATCACTAATAGAGTAGTGTTCATCTATTTCCAAATAATCTTCAATGCACGTTTCCCCTTAAAATAAAACAAAACCATCCATCCTTCCATACCTTCTCATGAATTGTTTTACATCATGTATTTCTTGTATTGTACAGCTGAAATGATGTGAAATATTGGCAGTCCAATCAATTAAAAAACATAAAGAAGCTTCTCTTTAAAATAATATAAATCTAAAAAAAGGACATTCAGTCTGCTCATTGGTTTCTGTCTTTCTGCCTGATTTCTGAGACATTTGGAATTCTTCCCTGCACCTATGCCCTTATAAGATGATTTTACTGTCCTTCCTGAAGCTGCTGATGTACACAGAGCTTGGCTCTGCTTGACATCATGAAAAAAGATGCTATTTTCAGTGGAATTTTCAGATTTGTCATTCAAGTCTTTTTTAGTGGTTGAGCTGTCACACAGACCTTTCCTCACAGCCCCAGGAAAGAGCAGAGGTGAACCGAGAAGCTGCCTGGCTCTGAGCGTTGTGAAATATACAATATTTGAGAATGGAACAGGAAAGCGTGAGAGGGAAGACAAGAAGAATGTGTGTTTGGATGTCTTTGGCGAAAGGCCACATGAGGTTTTAACAGGCTGACCTTAGAAACGACTTGAAGTCATGACATGTACACCCTTTATGGGCTCGACTCCTTTGTTTGAAACTTTTCCAAAGCATGTTTCCTTACATTTAAACCAGAAAGGACATCAGCAAGGCGTGAGAGCAAAAGGCAATGCAGAAACACAAAGATGTTAGTGACAGGAATCCAACCGACACTCATTCATGGAAGACCAAGCTTGACCACAAGAGAATTATACAAAGGGAAAACTGTATATTGAACGATGATGTTTGACTTTTTAGAAAGGCATGGCTTATCTCCTTCAAACCCAATTGGACACACTTTGAATGTGATACTTTGAACACATTTTACCGTTATTTCTTTTCCAGGAAATGTTGTGTTTGGGGAGCCAATCACAGCCAGCCTGGGGACTGATGGGACACATTACTGGAGCAAGAACTGGGCCAAGGCGGCTTCTTTTGTTACATCACCTCCTCTTAGCCCTGATCCCACCACTCCAGACTATCTGAACACAATGCTGTCCAGGTGCGTATCACAGCTGCTCCATTTGAATTAGAGCCTCGTATGATCTGAAAACATGAGTAACAGTTTGTGCTCAAAGAAAAACCTTTTGGCTAGAGCCATATTGGAATATTTTCACACTTGTTCTGTTTCTTCTGTCTATGCTAAAGCAAATTAACGTTGTTGCTCAAATATACTTGTGTACACATATTGGGTGGTGCTGGTGTAATTCCATCATCCTAACTCTATATTTACTTGTTTCTTTGTCCCGCAGTGGAGACCTGAGCGTGACTGGCAGTGCTCACTGTACCTTCAGCGTGGCCCAGAAGGCCATCGGCAAGGATGACTTCACTCAGATTCCAGAAGGTGTTAACGGAGTTGAGGAGAGGATGAGCCTCATCTGGGATAAAGCTGTGGTGAGTCTTTTTTCATAGACTACAGAAGAGAGTGAAAGACAAAAAGATATCAAACAATGTAAAATGCAAATGAAGACTTAAACCAGAGCAAAACTCCTGTGTTCTCTTTTGCTTCTTTTATCTCTTCTTTTATGTCTTTTTACTTTTCATTCCTCTCTTTCCAACTCTTTCCCACTTTGATTCTTCGCCTTGTTGTCTTTATCATTTCCTTTTCTATCTCCACATCTGTCCTTTCCTTCACCTCTGGATACATAACTCGAGTACCATTATTTTGAACCAGCGTTCTATTTGTATAACTATGGCTTTTACAATTGATCATGCTTACTTTCTTTAGTAATTTGAAAAAATGTAGAGGGAGTCAAAGTGGGCAACAGTTAAATACAACTCAAGAAGGGGTGTCATTACAAGAGGTTGAAAATAACGTCATTTACTTTCTGGCAAAGCATGTAATCGTGAAGCATCTCTCTTGTTATCACGGGATCAGCAGTACAGACACATAGAATGTAGCTTTAGACAGCCTCTGGAGTGCTGTGCTTCCTGTACTGTATAGTGATGATGGGTTTTGAAATGTTGCACTGAATCTTTTTCCTTAGGGAAGTCGCTTAAAGTCAAAGCTAGCACCAACATTTATTTTTCTCTCTTTTGTACAACACTGATGTAGCTATTATCCTATCTGCCTCATTATTCTAAGCTTGGATGCCAGCTTTCTGAGAAGAGCAAGAGTCCTCAGATAAATTATTTCTTTAATATTATACTCTATTTTCTGATGTCAGGTTATTCGTTCTCCATTTTATCAATGGGATAAAGGAAAACAAAAGATTGTTGAACAGAAAATGACCTCCAGCCCGAGTTACATGCATCCATTTCCATCAGGGGTTAATGGATACTAAAGAATATGATAACAAGTGAAACTATTTATGAAGACTGCTAACTATTTCCTGCGAATGCTTGTTTCCCTCCCAGACTACAGGTAAGATGGACGAGAACATGTTTGTGGCAGTCACCAGCACCAACGCAGCTAAGATCCTGAACCTGTACCCTCGTAAGGGTCGGATCGCCGTGGGCTCTGATGCTGACCTGGTCATCTGGGACACAGACTCCATCCGCACCATCACTGCCAAGACACACAACTCTGTATGTTTTATTTCATGTTTTGGTTCATATCAGCTCATTATGTACATATCAGGGGAAATAACTTTAACAGAAACCCAGCATTTAGGCCTGTCTTAGTCGGCTCAGTCGGTCTTACCTGGCCAGAGTGGATTAATTCAGAGCAAGACAAGTACAGCAAGACTTTTTCTTGAGTAATGCCAATGTGATTGGCTGTATATACAGTAAATGTGTGGTTGATCAAAGAGAAAGAAAAGGAACAAGGGATAAATGAAAAAATTGATTAAAGTGTTCGATTTATTGCGGAAACAAAACAATCAAACACATGAGATAAACCGACACATGAGATACACAGAAAACAAGATAAAAGATAATTGTGTACATCTGTGTGTGTGTGTGTGTGTGTGTGTGTGTGTGTGTGTGTGTGTGTGTGTGTGTGTGTGTGTGTGTGTGTGTGTTTGTGTGTGTGTTTGTGTGTGACAGAGAGAAAAATAGAGTGAATAAGAGCATAAGGGAGAGAGAGAGAGAGAGAAAGAGAGAGAGAACATTTTTGAAAAGTTTCCAGAGACCTCTTAGTTCCTCTGAACGGAAATCAAATCTCAGAGGATGTTCACTACTAACAACACTCATACTGTACTCGTCACATGACTAGAACCATATCAAGTTGAGCCACACTACATATATTAACCCTCAGCCTTGACTGAAGTAATGTGTAGGAGAATAATATGGGTTATTCAAATGTACAGGACTATCCAAATACCATAACATTATTTCAGTAATGCAAAGGTTTTCCAAAATGACCATAACAGTCCACTACATTCTCCGCTTCAAAATCATCTCAAATATTTTCATGATTGGAAAACCACAGTGGGTTCAAAGCATGTAATTCATTACACAGGATTATGAAACAGTAACAATCAATAGATTTGGAATCTGTGTACACATTGCTTCACATCTCACGATTAAAAACTGCTCTAGTTATTAGGCTTTCGATGTCATGGGAAACATCTCCTGCAATCTGATTCAGAACTGTGTAGCATGACGACCATCTACTCCATCCCCCGCCTGCAATTTTGAGTATCAACTAATATTTGGAAACATTGATTTACCTGGCAGTAATTTAAAAGTGACACCAAATCTAGCACTGATTTCTTTTGAAATTGTACTTCATAGTGACAATCAATGAATCCTCCTGTAGTTCTTTAAAAAAAGTTAAGCTACATTACATATTTTATATTTGTACGCGCTCAGAGAGTCATTTGCAAGGGCCTAATACACATTCTTTCTAACTCTCTTTTTTAACACATTTACATAATGAGGGTTGTACTGTACTATCACACTGGCATCAGAGGATCCCAGGCGTGCCACCCGGCAGCAGAGGAAGTGTCCACACAGGAAATGAAGGCTTCACCAGCCTAGCATTAATCCTGCTTGCAGAAATACAGGAGTGAGGGAAGAATGCTTTTACTACATATGTGTGTGGATTGGATTTAGGAATAATGAAGTGGAGTTTTTAGATGTTTTATATGCAGTGCTAAAGAGCTAACAGTGGCTGTTTATTATGAGAGAAAGAAAGTTGTCTCCAGATGGAGGAATGGAAAGAGACAGAGAGACTAATAATACGCCTTCTCCAAATGTGGAGTACATCCACTGAGGATCCTTGGGTTCTTACATAATGATGTCACCCTCTCATTTCCTGCTCGTCGTCCTTCCAGATAAAACAGCAGGGAGCAGAGCACGGCAGCTTACAGCATAAATCTACCTTAATGGATAGTGTGACGCAAGGCCAAACAGGAGCGACCCTGCTTACCAGCATTTTGTGTTATAATACAAAGTAAATAGATAAACATTGGGAATAAAGCAGGCAGCAAAACACACACACACACACACACACACACACACACACACACACACACACACACACACACACACACACACACACACACACACACACACACACACACACACACACACACACAGACTCAGGGACACACTCAGTAATGACATCATGTTTGGCATGCAGTGGGTCTTAGTTATGTCCTGTTCTGGCCTGAATTTGGACGGCAGCAGAAAACAGGGCCGTGTGCAGAGGAAATAAGCAACAATGGAATGAGGGGAGGGAACCATTACAGATCACAAACATGTAGAGAAAAGAAAGCTTGCACTAGGGAAATCAGACTAGGAGGAAAAGTTATAAGGTTCAACAAAATACTAAAAGTTAAACAAGAATGGATGAGCGAGATAAAGACAGAGAAAGGGGGATAAATGAATGAAGGAGACAGACAACTGGTATGAGAGAAAGGAGAGAACAAGGTAGAGAGAGTGAGAGTAATGGAAAGAGAGTGAGAAGTACTATAAATGCATTAAGCACCAGCTGGATGGTGGCAGCTGTTGGTGCATGCCAAACAGACAGTGTAAGAAACAAGGTGATGAATGATAAAGTATGGGAGAAAGTGAGCATGAGGGAATAAGAGAGTTGAGCAGACATAAAGTTGATGCTTCAACTTCCTGTCTCCTATTCGATCCTTTCATAACTCGCCCTGTTGTGTCTTCCAAATCTCCTCAGCCCCTTCATCAGTCCCTAGGGAGAAGCTTACAGAAGTTTTATTTTGGACGGTTTGTTTAAAATGATATTAAATTGAACAAATTTGATTTAATTTAATCAAAGATTATCCTTAAACCCCATGATAGACTAATTTAATTCTTACCTTCAGTGGAGTTATTTGTTCAAACTTTTGCTTCAGATATGAAAGATAGGCATCTATCGTCCCATTAATTATAGACAGTGTGTTGACTGTTAAAACTTTGATTTATGAGATAAATGGGACCTTTGGATTGTTCTTCTTCTTCAGCGTATGCACATGTGTCTTCCTACGAATGTGGTTCACATTTACAAATCATATGTATTAGTGTCAATGTACCTGTTTTTGATCATTTTACATAATTCTATAACCGTAAATATAGTTATTGTGTATACATGTTTTGCATAATTTCTCCTAAGTTATAATGAGTACTGCTTCAGTGTGTGATTAATACATGTATCACCTTTTGTTTCAAGTATCTAATAGCTGTTTATCTGTTCTTCAGGCTGCTGAGTACAATATCTTTGAGGGCATGGAGCTGCGTGGAGCCCCACAAGCGGTGATCTGCCAGGGGAAGATTGTCGTGGAAGACGGGACCCTCCATGTTGTCTCCGGCGTGGGTCGCTTCATCCCCTGCTCTGCCTTCCCTGACTTTGCCTACAAGCGCATTAAAGCCAGGAAGCAGGTAAACACTGGTTCTTCTTCTGAACATATTAACATTTTGTTAAGAACGTTATTATGTTTAAACCAAGTGACACACACAATGCAGTGAGAGAAAATTATACAATAACTGTGGAAAGTAGGAGTCAGGTTCTTTGGTTTGGGAGTGAGGATTTATTGGGTTTTGGGCTCAAGTAAAAGTTACAATGGTGGGGAGAATATAGGGCAGTGAAGTGGGATGCAGGGGAGGTACAATAAGCCTGACATCAGCCTCCAAGGTTCAGCCACAGGGCGCTGGCTGCTTCTACACTGTAGAACAAAATGTCAATGCAGTGAGGGTGGTCTAGGCTTATTCGTCGTGTTTTAAAAAAAGGATGCAGTGAGTTTGGACTTTCCAAAGAGACCTGCCACATACTGTATAGCAGAGTCAAAATTGTTAACAAAGTCTACAATTAAATGTAGTTCCAAACTAGTGTGGAGCCCCTTTAAAATGTACTGATTGCTTGACATTTGTGCATACTACTTATCATAAGTCGATCCAATGAACGGTTGTCAAAAGAAATCCAAGATCTCACATACATGTACAGACAGATACAGATTTACAATTTACTGTAGTTTAACAAGACTTATTTGATTCTTAAACTATTTAGGAATGCCGCTTTTAAATCAGTAAAAGCTACAGGAAAACCAGAGGGTTTGGAAATGCTTTCCCTGCAACAGACACATTCGAATATGAGAAGAGGAATAACATTGTGGGCTTGAAGTGTGCCATTAAATATGACTGATGTATTCATAGCAGTCATATTTCTGTTACCACAAAAGCCTCTTTAAAACACTTTCAGTTCATTATGGTGGCGCCCACAAATAAAGACTCACGATCCTCAGCTTTACCTCAACAGTATAAAAGGAATAAAAAGGATATTCCTACCACCTTCATTAAATCAACTGGTTAACTGTTAAACTCAAAGCATCTTGCCTTCTTATTTCATGGGCCAAAAATCTCATTGTTCAACAATTTCCTAATTTGCAGCTGGCTGTCGATGAAAAAAAATGAGCTGTATTAACAGTGTGCTGTTTATCTTGGTAGCAGTCACTGTTATGGTTTCTTCATTCACAGATGTCTCTTTTTAACTTTTTAGCTTCCAAGATCCAAGAAGAGTCACGCCACTGAAAGACTGACTGACATACAATGGCTTGTTTATTAGCAGCCTCAAATTTGAATTTGCTTGAAAAACAAACAACTAGTGTATGGTTAGCTTTTTTTTTGCACTAGTTTATAAAAGGGTTTGCTTACTTGTGTTAGTATGTCTATGTTTGTGCGGTGATGTGTAAATCTGAAAGTGGTTGTGTGCAGGAAAAAGGCTCTGAATATATAATTCAGAGACAATCTGTTTCACAAACAACTATATAATGCGAAACACATTTAAATAAATGTCTCTCTTTGTTTCAACCCATCTCTTCTGTAGCTGGCGGTCCTGAGAGCAGTGCCCAGAGGAATGTATGATGGCCCGGTGTCTGAGTTCTCCATGTCCCGTGGTGGCACTCCCTCAGCTTCAGCACGCACCTCTCCCACCAAACAGCCTTCCAGAAACCTTCACCATTCTGGATTTAGTCTAGCAGGTAACCCTGCACAATGTGGTGAGCTCCACTTCTCAAAACACACCCAGCTCTATCACCCGGTCCTCCTTTCATCTGTTTATGGTCTGAACTGATTTATACTGCATGTAGAAACATCAAAGGAGCATGTGCATCAGTCAATCCACCACCCTGCCTAGAGTTTATCTAGACCTTTTCTGCTACGTCATGCTGTGAAGTACAACAATCATGTGATTTTTAGCATGCTTTTGCTCTGATGCATTCACAACCCTGGGCGATAATCATCAAGCCTTTGAAGTAACCTAATAATCTCTTACTGTCCTTTTTCATACTTTATGATGCGCAAAGAATGACATGCATTTTTTTTTACCGTGTTTATATGGCAATTTGTCTGTTCATGCAAGTCATTAAGTGGCCAGCTTGAGCTCCTCAGAGTTGTAATGAGGCACACAGTGCACACAGCATTGAGTTAGATGTATGCACACAATCAGTTAGCTATGTTTTTGCTTTACTGTGGTTTGACATTAAGTTTTATTCCAAATTAAAACCACACAAACTCTAAGTACTTTTGTATTTCTGTATTATGCACATTGTACTAAGCAAATGATGGCTTCTATTATCATGCATTCTCAATAGGAATTACACAATATCAGATTTTCACTACAAGGGAAACGTAATAAAAATAACTGTTCTTTGTCTTCTTCTGGCAAAATGTTGCCTTTAGTATTTGTAGAGGCAGTCTGTAATCATTTATAAGGCAGATGATTAATTACACAGTATTACTATTGTGTATTTTTAACACGATATAAACATCATTTTTCTAACATCACAGTTATCATTAACATCGGTATAATCCAACACCCATAATTCACATGAACATATTATGTGCACTAATCTTATTTGTTTTATCATCCTAACTCTGTTAGATCATATCTTCTCTTTAAGGAATCATCTCCAAAAAATGCACCAAAGATCCCTCTGTTGGAGTATATCAAGAAGAATATTTGTTAATGCTCTTTAGGACACTGTGACCCCTAACTTCAGCCTTCTTGTAATGTCGAGCTACATTAACAAATTAAGTGTTTTCTACTGTTACACTTACTGTAAGACTTGCTGGATATGAATATTGGCTGAAGGCCCAAAACATACTGCATACAAGATTTTGAGCCAGGCATCTGGACACGGCCTATTAAAAAGCCTATCTAATGTGAGAGGTCATAACACTATGTATTCACATTCAACATCTGTTCCATTAGGCAGAGCTGCTGAGGGACAGCCTGATTGTGCCCATATGTATGTTCAGCATTGGGTTAGCTTTTTAGAAAACAAGTGTGGGATTGATTTTGTCAGGTTACTATACAGTGACACTTTGTACATTATGTTAAAGTCCTGAACCAGTTAGTCAGTGTCTCCACTGTTTAATAATCAAACAGAGACAGCATAGCTATTACTGTAGCAGTCATTATGTCCTCCAGTCACATTGAATGTGTAAATCAATGGGAGCAAATCTCTCGCCAGCTGTACTCACCCAGGTATTGGCTGTCTTCGTAAATGTATGTAGTATTTTGAGTTGTTGATAACTCATTTTGAAGGACCACAGAATGGTGTTTGTTTGGTCTTACATGTATTAAGCAACCTGCCTTTACAAGTTTAGCTCATGGCTGATACCTCATTGATGAAAAAAGATGATGACCTTCTCTGGAAAGAATTTCCACTTTTAAGTCCTTGAATTTATATGGGAGTAAGGCTGCTCCTGGTTTCCCAGGCTTTGTAATGGTTGTGTGTGTTTACTCGTAAGCGTGCATGCATATGTGTACATACTCTCAGAATGACTCTATGTATTTGAGTTTTTCCAGTGACACCACCTGCAGAGTTGATTTACTGAGATGGGAAGGCTTGTTTGCCTGGATACAGTGTTTCATAGTCTGACATCATTCTACTTTCCATTTATATACTCGCTGATAAATTGCTGCAACAGGCGCCCTGGCTCATCCTTTGGAAACAATTTATGTCAAACTGTAGCTCCTTTTGTTAATGATTCAGCAGCACTCACAAAGGACATGGTCTGCTGAAACTGTAATTCCCCTATCATATAAGTGACACATGCCATATATCATAGACAAAAATAATGTGACTTGAAAAACCTCTGGTGACTGGAAAGTAATAATGTGAGTGTATGACGACAATTACTTGTGGGCTATGACAGAATAAAAGGAGTAAGTAATAAGTGGATTGACAAATAGGACAATTTCTAGCTTTAAGAGCAGGGATGACTTACAGTAGAATAAATGTTTAGCCACATTAGTCCAAATATCAATCATCGTTTGTTATAAATTGTGTGCATGGAAATCCTGTCTTTATTAATTCCTTCTGATTGTGTCTTCTGCAAAGATAAGAAATATATGGAAACCCCTCAGACCAGCATGGATACAAACCACAGTTTTGTTTAAAATACCTCCAATTAATGATCTCCTTTTCCTGGTTTTCAATTTGCATGTCTTTTTCTTTCCCCCCAATTACTTCTGCCCAAAATGTTACATGCCTTTTGCTCTTTTTCCATGTAACTCACTTTATCTTTCTCTCCTTTTTTCTCTGCTCAGGTCCCACCATCCCAGATGACATCCCCATCAGGCCTGCTGGCCGCCGTATTGTAGTGCCCCCCGGTGGTCGTTCCAACATCACATCCCTCAGCTAAACAGCAGACAGACAAGGGGAGGCATCCGGAAAACAACAGCAGCCAGAGTGCAGGATTGAGGGTGGGAGAGACGAAAAAGGGGAGGGAGGAACAGATGCAGAGGACCATGATTAGTTACAAGTAAAATAAAAAGCAAAACACTGAATCCTCATGCCTTACCTGTCACTATATTGACCATGCTCAGATGAGAACTATATCCATTTCCCTGGGTAAATTGAATTGAATTGAATTGGTTAGACATGGTTACTAATAGTTAAAGTTACCCCCATCCCACAGTGCAATTCACATCACTAGTGTTTAGCCTTATCACCTCTCAGTTTAGAATATACCACAAATGGTTTCATAATGGGAACACACGACAGTCATACCATCACATCGAACCAACATAGTTCAGACTGTGTTCCCAAAGGGAAATGGATACAGATTTTTCACAGGATGATGCTATGGTCCATTCATCCTGTTTGGCTTTTAATGTCACCCCCTTTTTACTTGTCTGCTTTCTGATTTGTCAGCAAAACACAACACTAGATCCCACATTAGCCATGTATTACCATGCAGTACCATTGATTAGCTCTAGGTGGCATTGTATATACAGTAGATGTAATGTAGCTTTGTGAATGATGTTGCTGCAGCCTGTTGGGGTTTACTGGACCAAGTAAAAGGTATTTATCAAGTCTCAGAGCAGGAGTGCTGTTGGACATGGAGCTGCCTGGGCCACAATAATACGAGTGATGTGATTCATGTTCCCCCCCTCCTACTCTGAGGTTACTTGATGAATACCATCCCCATGATGTATTCATTGAATTATTATGGATGTTAAAAAAAAGAAGAAACCAGACTTGTCTGCTTAAAAGATTTTGCGAAACAACAAATGTAAAAGTTTGACATTTTAGGAAGGGTTTTAGAATCTTTATCCCTGAAAAGGTTGTGTGAGTTTTTATTTTACCTGCGTTCCATCATGGCTGTGTAAAACAAAATATTGTAAGAAATCGTCCTTTGCATCTGCTTCTAGCTAATTGGCTGCTACTGTTATCCTAAAACCATTATGATAAAGATAAACGAAGAGAACGAAGGAAGGGTAAAAAAAAACAAAAAAACAACCTGATCACAAGAAGTACGAAACATGCAACTGTCTCTGCAGCCCATCTGCAACTTTTAACTATGAGCTTTGCAATTGAGGGAAACAAGGAAAACCAGATGCAATTAAATGAATACGCAACAAATACCTGCTTTCAGATAACAGCACTTCACCTCCCTTTACTTTTTAATTCCTAACAAACTGGGCTCTGATTTTAAGACAAGAGGAATACCATCATTCCTTTGTCCCCCCAACAAAGTCCCTTTAATGTAATCCTGACCAATAGTTATTTATCACCAGCCTGATTATATCTAGGGCCTAAGTGAGTTGACCTGAAACACTCTGATGCTGTTGGGGGGCCTTAGAGCCTTTTATGTCTGTGCTGTTTTTTTGACAAGGCAGAGGATTGCCGTGCAGTAAGGGAAGCTTTTTCTTCACTGTCCCACTGTGGGGGAGGGAGGGGAGGTCATCATGTTTTTTTATTTGACAGTGAGGGCAGACTCTGAGGCAGGCACGATTAGTGGTTTGTTGTATTTATGTTAGTTTGACAACCTTTGTTATTGTTTTTACGTTGTTTCTTTTTTTACTGTTGTATCAAAATCCAGAGATGGCAGGTCAAAACTAAGGTGTGTTGTGGAGGTATGATTTGTTTCCTGAATAAACATGAGTTGCAACTGAGTGACTGAAATATTTAATTTACATTATTACATTTAACAACAAGGCATATGCATTAAGGGTGGACATACGAAAATAACAGTAGGCCTGTCATCCAAACAATAACCCATTAGCCAAATACACTCATACAAATGTGTCGATATCCATTTCTTGATTTAATCCATATGTGTTATCTTTCCATAAATAATCATGTGAAAGCACTACATAAATCTTATATACAGAATGTGCTCATAAGTGTCCTGGAAATAAGACATTTTAAATGAATCCATAGAATCTTAGAATACCTTTTTAAACTAACGATTAATTTGCAGACGCAGCCGTGACAATGTAAGTGAATACACTATAAACACCATCTAGGCTGAATAACTTGACATATTGAGTCAATAAAAACCTAATTGTAATTTTTTCAATAAACCGGAATTGCATAAAACCCCAGGGTACTATGAATCTTTATCAACATCCTTTACTTATTTGTACGCCTGAAGTTTCCACTTATTGGGCTCTATATCCCTCTTCATATTTGTATGATGACTTGTCAATTTATTCAGATAATGAGTTACTGACAGAAATATACACATGAAATGTTGAATCAGCAGAATGTGCAATATAAGCAACATCATGCTTTATTTAAAAGCTCTGACACATCCATAATCTCAGGGACAATTGACCTCATATGTCCCAGCCACAGGGTTGTCAAAATTAGGGTGACCATGCAAGATGTATCTGTATTTTAATAGACAAGTAAAATAAGAACATTCTTTAAAATAAACACTGGGTCATTGACTCCTTTTTGCTGCATTAAATAACATTAGCTAAAGTGTGGTATTGCTATGTTGATGCAATCCATATTTTGGCCACTATGGTCAGCATTGAGCTAGACATTCACTGCTTCAGAAACACTTAAGTAGTGATAGTTTACACCTCATTGGTACAAGGTTGAATCACATTTAAACATTTAGTCCAATACGCCACTTTATTTGCCTCCCTCAGGAAGCCTACAGGATTGTGCTACTTATAACAGTCCTGAAAACTAGCTCAACCTAAATAAGCTAGTTTATTTGGTAGTGTTAGCTAACTAAAATTACATTAGCACACATCTTCTAGCAAACAATTTCCTCCGACTGAGGCATTCAACTTCAAGGTAATTGCATTCATTTTGTGACATGTATTGTTTTAATTTGTCAAAAACAACATTCATGCCAATAATCATAAACCTTTCAAAAACATTTTGACGATTACAGAGTTCTTGGATTAGGAAGATAGTCTACCAACATTGTCATGGCTTGGCGTTTGCCCTGTTGATAGTGTTAAATTGACACTTTTCCTTGGATACATTTTAATTTGAAATGATTCATAAAATACTTCCTGCTGTTGCTGTTTAACAATACAAAGCTTAGGCCTACTTGTGCAAAGCCTCTTCGGCCTACTGTAGTTTTTGTAAACATAATTTTTATCAATTAATAAATGTTCTGGGTATAAAGGAACAGTAAGGTTAAGGTTATTTTTGCCAACATTTCAGGAAGACATTTCCAAAGAACTTAGTGTGAAGATACAAGATGAAGCTGTGTTCAAACACATACTTATGGCAGGTTGGGTGAAGGCCAAAACAGCAGTTCACAAAGGTAAGTCACATGTCTTACCTTTTCCTGTTGTATGGATAATCATTAGGGCTGAGATGGGAGAGGGATCAGATTTGTCCCGAGATGTTATTGTCGTATCTGAACTATGTATATCTTTCAATATACTGGTAAGAAAGGGTGTACATTTTAAAACAAATAAATGTATGACAATCCTGTGTGGTCTAATGACTAATGTAACCACTCAGTCCTTTTGTGTTTCTTAGTAGTGGGAGTTACACACAGTGTGGTCCAACAGTAAAACTGCTGCAAGGTCCCTCAGGCATTTTTCAATGTTGAATAGAAATTTGATGACAATAATGACAATATCTCATCCTGTCAGAACGCAGAGGGGACAACTGGTAAATGTAGACTATATCTGGATGAAGAGATGAGTCAGCAACTTTATTAACTTTATGTGTCAATTACTTGTTGGCATTGGTTACAGTGTATGACTGTTATGAGAAACGTTTTCAGGAGAGGATAAGTGTATAGGCTATGTATGTATATGTATGTGTGTGAAGCAAATGTATATCAGAATATATTAACTTTCATGTGATAAAGCAAGGTTTGCTGCTTTTATCTGTTGTGATTCTAAGCAGAATGGGGACGCACTTATCAACTGGAGTCACCCCTCAGATCAGATATTAATGTGGAAATGTGCTGCCTCATCACAGCCCACTGTGTCTAAAAGAGGACTTTGCCTTCTAGATGACCTAAGTGATGGACGAAAATCGGTTGTGTGTGTGTGTGTGTGTGTGTGTGTGTGTGTGTGTGTGTGTGTGTGTGTGTGTGTGTGTGTGTGTGTGTGTGTGTGTGTGTGTGTGTGTGTGTGTGTGTAAGAGAGAATAGGAAAAGCATATGGTGCGTATCTGATGCTGAGTGTGCATTATCCAGCAATGCCCTTGGACACATTGGAAAAGAGAGTGCTTTCTAACCCTTTGCTTAATTAGAACCAATTACATTTGAAGATAAACAGCAGCCATTAAAGTTAAAGATTAAACATCATTTTTGTTTCCATTTTTATTCACTTGTATTTAGAATGTGTTCAATGCTCGTCTTTTAGGCTTACTTACAAATTAACTGGATTGGTATACCTACTTCTTTATGATACTAACTGTAGTACTCTTTAGTAGCCTTTGGGGGGCAGCGTTATCTTAAAGACAGTGGTGAGCAACCAACACAAGCAATAAATCCACATTTCTTTGAGCCTCATTCAGACATATTTTCTCTTTTTACACCCTTTCACTATTCTTGATTTTGAGGAAAAATGGCATATCAGTGATGTCATCCTTTGTTCAATTTGACTTGTAATCGTTGTTCAATATAATATGATCATTCAAAAAGACAGGAAGTGAAATAAAGCACAAGGCATAGTCAGTTTGTTTCAGAAAAAGAAAGTTGTTATTTAAGGCACACCTTAATAGTTTGCAACTCCATCACATTGAATACAATAAACACACAGTGACAACTGAAGGACGACAAAACCTTAGGAATGAGATTCACAGGTGTGGAGCAAAGCTGTTCCCAGACTTTTTTTTACGTAGGCAAGTTTTGTTGAAAAATGGTTTTACTTAGGTCAATACTATTTCTATTAAATTATTATTTTATACTTAGATTTTTTGGAAGGGTTGAATCTGTCACATCATTTGATTTTCGCAATGACCCCATCCGATCGATTCCTGCTACATAACAAAAAGTAAGATAATTATTCCCAAATAAAATACCCCAAGAATCTCGGATCACTCCATCTGTTATCCTATCTCACTAAATGTAACATCTTATACAAGACCTTAATTTTGGATCTGTAAAATGACATCAATGACAACAACAACAACATCAACAACAACAACAATACACAGTTTAGTCAAAACATTGTACTAACTCTCAATAGAAAAGTGCCAAAAGTAATGAATTGAATAGAGTGAAATATGTTTTAAATATAATCAAGTATAGAATTGAAGGATTGAGTTGTATTGCAGATAGATAAATCAGACTCAATAGAATGACTAGACATTTGTATAAATCACATTTACTTACTGATTGTGAAAAAGCTCAGGTTTGTACTACTTAGCTACTTACACATAGTTTTAGGGATCAAACTGTGTGCCATATCTATGGTATAAGGCTTCCCTATGAAAGCTTCAGGGGCAGGTTTGGTTTGTCGGACATTGTTTTAGCCTGGGGTATTATTTGTTTCTGTCAATATTTTCTTATTTACCACTTTGAATGTGAAAATCTAAATTAAGATTTTTCTCCCGCCGTTATCCAGCTGGTGCTACGTTTCCTGTTTTATACCATCTGCACAACAATATTGTCACCAAATGTATTCTTCTATTAATTGCAAATACAAATGTACAGGCTTATCCGGGGGTACATGTAATTGGTTGTATTCAACACAAAAGAGGAAGGACATAGACACATTATTTGACAACAATTTCAATGCAGACAGTGACTGAAAAATAAATGTTATCTAGGTCTCAGCTTAATCCATGTCTATAAAAAACATCCCTAAGGGAATAAGTATAGTCACTCACAGCTTTAGATTTTTTTTGTCTCTCTGTGCATAAATGCTACAGTTGATGAAGAAGCATGTGCAAAGCAAGGTTCAGTGCAGAACATATAACATCTACCAGTTACCTTTTCTAAGTTTTCATAGCGATAAACCTTTATTTGGAGACGCCGCTGGTCATTTGCAAATTGAGGCAAAGCTTAGCCAAAGATGTCAGTGTTTTTAAAGAGTTTAAAACCTCTTTTACAAAATAAATAATCGAAAGGTCCAGTCGTTGTGCCCAGAGCTTTCAACCACATCTGATGGCTTACACTTCATACTGTATAGACTTCCAAGGTCAAGAATAGACCTTCAAGGTTAAAGCTACAATCATCATTGTGTTACCTTATTCAGCAATATATTTCTGACTTAACAGACTTTTGTTTGAATGAAAATGTTTGAGATTATTTTATGTTAACTGCAGTTCAAATTTCAGCATAATAAATTGAATTCGACCTTTAGCAGGTTTTGCTGATATCTGCAGCTGATGGAGCTGGGACATTTTACCAATGTTGCAGTCCTACCATCTTTTTTAAGCTTTACTAGCAAAGCTAAGCACAATGACCACTACAACCGTGTTTCTGCTGATAAAGTGAGCCATTCGGGCTCAAGCCTACAGTTCAACTCTTCATTTTCAATAAGATTAATCTGTGGTTGCTCTGTTAAAAAGAAAGGCCTCATTTGACCTTATTGACCTCTCTGTTTTAAACGTTGTACTAATGTCATGCTCGGATCTCAAGTCCTGTAAATAACAAGGGAAAAAGCTGTCAAAGTGTTTGTTTTTCAATATAGGGTGCCAACCCAGTTCCTTATGCCAATTCTTATTTGGTTCATGTAGCACTGGGAAACCATTGTTGTTTAAATAACTATTATTAACCAGCATATGCACTGCTGATATTAAAAATCTGAGTGTCACACCCAAGGAAGCAGCTGCTTGGGCAGGTGTGCCATTGTCTCCTTTTTTTTTGACAGGGCATTGACTTTTCACTTCAGCACAGCGCCCAGAGTTGATGTTGAGCAGGCCTCAGAGCACCAGAGTGATGTTAGGGAACAGGATATGAGCGACACTCTGCTGAGAAACCATTTCTCTCCTGCAGTTCTTGATGCGTTTTCTTTGTTGGTGAACAGTGAAGCACAAGCATTCTTGTTTGTGAAGCGATGCAGTGGTGCAGGAACATTGAAGGACGGCCTGTGAGTGCCTGTGCTGATAGAACATAGGTGGCAATTGCTGATCTACAAGCTATGGGAAGGTGCAGGTGATAAGGGACTACGTAGGGGTCTCAGGTCTTGAGACCTATCCTGATAAGAAGGCCACCGGCTCCACATTGTTGTTCTGTCCATCCTCTATTGCCTTGTTCTTCTCAGTCATTGTCAGCTCAGAGGAGTCTGAGTCCACGGCTTTCTTTGACCTATTGCGTAAAGAACATCATTAAAACACGTGATTTTTTTATTCTAGCATTTTAATGTATCCTTTGGCCTGGGATAGGCAAAGATAGTGGTTAGTACTAGACATTATTTTTGTACCTTTTCCAAATACTTGTGTTAGCTAAAGATAGCCATTTAACTGTCATGACATTTGACCTACCTTTGTTTTTATTGTTAAGCTATTACTTTAAAGTGGCAATAAAGGGACAAAAGTATAAAGTACCCAAATCTTGCTTCCCAACTCCTCACATCTTATATTTATTTCCATAACCTTGAGGATCTACTTGGTATGGCTTTGGTGTCTCCTCTGTTTAAACATTTCCTCATGCAAATCAACAGCGTTATATCCTTAACTTGACCGCTTTTGGATTAACTTCCAGAAACTCTACCAGTTGCAGAGTTTCTGCTTTAATCACACACATACATGTGCCGGATCTTATGCCACACTTATCTAATTCTAATCAAAAAACAACATACATTTATATAAACCCTATCAAACATAGTATTAATTAAATAATATATATAGTAGATTATATATCCCTTTGATTTAAAAAAATGTTTATCGCAGTTGTTTTGGGTTTCACAACAAAGAAAGTTGAAAGGTTAAGTTAAGACTACAATGCCAACTAATCAAAATGCAGAGTATTGTGGGAAATGGAGGTTCCTTACTTTTCTCTGTTGAAGATAATGAAGTCTCTCTGGACATTATCCATTCTCTGTTGCAACTGACCGTTCTGGAGGAGAGACAAACAGAAAACATCAGCAACTCAATGATCAATGCTGTGAAAAAAAACAAAAACACAAATTCTGGGCTGATTATTCATCATTACTGTACTCGGCTACAATCTCTGAATCATTTACATTGAATGTAAAAATAAAAACTCCTGGTGACAGCGGTTAGAGAATAAAAGCTTTGTCTTACAGGCAGTAGACTACACACTTTCTTTCCTTATATGACTCTTTTGTTATTTAAAAAAAAAAAAAAAGCTTCATGCATTCACACGTGTTTGGCCCATTTGTTCATGAGAGAACATCCAGCTCTGTCATGCCAGTGTGTCCTCACACTGCTGAAGTGCCAAGACAAGTACACAGGTGCTTTCTCACTCTCCCAAGGAGACAGTGAGGAGAGGATCATTGACATACATCATCATTATGACACTGTACTGTGTGTGTGTCTGACAGAGACAAACCAGCAGAGACTCAAGAACACAAAAAGAGAAAATGAACAAAATGGTTCTTTGATTTTCTTGTGCAGATAACGATTCACGATTAACCATACTTTGTGTCTACAGCTTATACTAACCTAAATGAGGTACAACTGTAACATTTAAACTCCAAATCGGACACTTGGGCCCTCCATATGCTTCACTAAGGGCATCCAAGGGCATTCTCCTTATCCTCAAGGTCACATGCAAACGCAAACACACATGGCTCATTATGCTGCTTCCCGAAACACCCCTCCAGTTAGATTGGCACTCAAAACTCCAAGTTCCTGGAAAGCTCTTCAGGAGGCTGACTTCCTTTTAGAGCAGTCTGTCACTCAGAGAGAGGCTGTGTACAGGTGCTGTCACAGTGGGGGACAGACACTGGCAGACCAAAAGCCATAAACCCAATTAGGGCAGGAGAAAATAAAAATAAATGTAAAGAACAGGAGGTGTAGACTGAGTTGTGTAATAGTTTTGCATGCATGAAGTAAGAGTTTTCCTGTGGGTTCTGGGTTGATGGACCCTTTCACAGCAGTGTCACACAGGACATTTACACATTTGTATGGACACTGTAGCAACACACTAAAACTACACAACCACTAGACACTTAGTCAAGGACAGGGAGATCAGGCTGTCCTTGAGTGTGGGGGATGAAGACTACCGGAAGGTCAAAAAACAACAACAGGCAGACAGAGACAGAGGAGGACTACTATATATCATTTGTCAAACCTCAGTGATAGATGTGATACATAAGCTGTATGGCGAATGAGAGAAATGGCCTGATTTCTCTCTGACGGGGTCATAATGATATATTCTTTGACGGAACCTGATGAAAAAAAGAAAAGATACCACCATTGTCTAACCTTTCCCTATAGACCAGTTCATTTTAAAAGCCAATCTGGTTTCCTGTCACTTCCCTCCAGACTTCAGTAAATTAACTATGTTTTAACCTGCATGCCAGCTAAACAATAAAGAGTATTGTTTTTTATAAAAGGGCCTAAAATAAAGAAGAGGTGAGGGAAGAAAAGAAGGAAGGTGATGATGATGATGATGATGATGATGATGATGATGATGATGATGATGATGAAGAAGAAGAAAATAAGGAAGTAAACAAGAAACCAAATAAAGAAGGACTTAAGGAAGGGAAAACAGTCAATCGAGGACTTAAAAAAAGCAAGAAGGAAAGGAAGGACACAAATAAGGATAGAAGGAGTGGGACTAGGAAGCAATGAGTAAAAATAACAAAAGGGGTGAGAAAGACATTAAAGGTCTTTTTTATTCCTGATATTTCCTATGATATTGCTTCCTTGTTTCATTACCTTATTTGTTGCTTTCCTGGAATAGAGGGATACTAGCCGAGAGATGTTGCATAAAAAACAAGTTATTCCTCACTTGTTCCTTCCCCTCTCTCTCTCTTTCCATTTCCAGCCTTTAAAAGGCAGTTCAGAAGCTAATTGCTTCAGCTGCGTGATTACACTTTCCATTTAATAAGACAAGCCAACAGGGAGTGCTCTGCTGAACGGAAGCCTAAAAGGGACATTTCTCATTGCCGTTATCTTCGCTTTCTGCCCAAACTTAGGATCAGCTTTTGTTTTATTGTGACATCTGAAAATGATTGTAGGTGATGAAGAATTACATGTGGTATTTAAACAATCTATAATACATCTCCAGCTGATCCTGTCACACATTTGAGCTACAATTGTGACTTCTTCTGGTGATATCTCAGCATTTAGAACTAAAACGAAAATTTATTTATTTATTTATTTTCTAAAGTGGCACACATGGATCTGTACTGTACATACAGCAGCTGGAAACACCCTAACAATAACTGTATACAACAATGAAGCAGCACACTCAAAACGCCATAGCAACATCCCAGTGAGACACCAGCTACACCTAATCCAAGCAAGTAGTCCTTAACCTTTATTCGAAGAATTATTATATTATAAACATTTTCATTATTATTGTTATTAGTATTATGGTCATATCTGTTCTTAACTGCTCTGATATGCAAAGATATTTTTACTAACCCTAACTTTAACTTTTGACAAAAACAAAAACAAAAATCTAAATCCCCACCATTGCTTCTCTTGAGTTTACATTTTGAATAGTAGGGTCATTGAGATGGCTATACTTGGGATTCCATAAACATCTACAGCAACTTGTCAACAGCCTAATGGAAGGAGTGTAAGACAAGGCGAGTGTATTTATTTTAAGGATAAGAGAAGAGAAATAAGGTTGGAGAGCAGGGGAGGAATGCACAAAGAATGGAGAGCAGCCTTAGGGTAATGAGTGAAAGATGCCCGGGACAGGCATTAGGGCAACTGGCTGACTTCATTCAATATTGATCTGCTATGCTTCATAAATGCTGCACATCTCCTGCCCTCTTTCTCATGCATGCATGCATGGACAAAGACATATCACTATATTTCTTAAGCTCTCTCTTACTTGCACCCATCACAAGTGGCCCCACTGGTACCTTTGTAAAAGGATATTGAAAACAAACCAAAAAACTCACATTTACTACACAGAAATTGAAGAGATTATTATCCCAAACAGACCAGGGATGCCAAATATCACTAGTTGGAATGCATAATATGCACATTAAACAATGTTGAAAGGACATTTCAGTGCTAAATGTATATATTTGAGTTAATTTTCCCCCTAATAAGTGAAGGAGTGAAGCGTCATTCAGCTAATTAGCTTGGTGCCATTCACTGGGATTTTAAAATGCATTCCAATACTCAACACATTGCTTTACTAAACAATGACTGACCTTTCCCAGAATACATAACAACATTAATATTTATTGTAATGAGACTCATATAGTCATTTATTGTCAGAAATAATTGAATGGAGTTGCTTTCTCCGTTGTCATGTGAAAGACCTGTAGAGCTGAATAACATTAACCCTGGTTGCAACTAAAAGTACATAAATCAAACATTGCCTTGAATAAGGTGATTTCATTAGGAAATGCAAGACAAAAGAGTGGAACGCCATTTCATTGATTTAATGTTAGAATCCTTTAGTCTGACCATACCCTGTTCCAGTACTTCATCCGTGTCCATAAAAATAAATGTTTCCCCGAAAGGTTACCATCATTATTTCATTAGAATAGAGACCTTCTCTTTGTCTGAACGGGCATGGGGATGACGAATGTTACTTGGCTGCACAGTAAGATATCACTGATATAAACACACAGGCAGGTCTCCACAAGCAGCTGTCAGCCTTCATAAAACATGGCACACTTTGGGCCAGTGCTGAATTCTTACTGCAAGCTGTCTAGACAGCACAAATTGCTTTACTTCTATTAGAAAACAGTCCCATAAACTTTTGTAATGTGCCATCGAGTGGGAGAGGCTCCAAACTTATTAACTTTGTAATGACATAGGTTGTATATGCAATAGGTTAGGTTGTGTGCAGAGATTTAATGTATGTGTGAAGTGCCAATGGTGGGGCAAAATGTTGTTGGATAGCAGGCAGACGCTCACAATAGCCAGGGCTGCCAACACTCACGCATTGAGCGTGAGAGTCACGCAATTAACCCATATCTCACGCAATCACGCCACACTTTCCTTTCCTCACGCTAAGTTTTCGTCCAAAATAAATGTATATAAAAATAAAGTGAAGGAACAGCAAACCGAGCGGTCTACGAAATGAGACAGTCTTCTGGCTTAGTTCAGTAAAGTTGGAACGATATTGGGAGATTCTGATTTCACGGATCAATAACTCATGAACAAAACGTTATTCAGACACAAATGACGTCTCCTAAGTACCGTGGTAAGGTTGACAACGAACTACAGTCACATTTTGATTTAAAAAAAAGCCAATACGCGCCGTCCTCCGAGCTGGACACATTACATCTGGTATCTGCAGCCGGAGAAGAAACGAGTGCTCAGGGACCGTCTGCAAAGTGCAACTCCGAAAAAAGAGAATACAATAATATTCAATCACTATTATACAGCTTATTACTACCAAACTCACCACACACATCAATAGTCTCCTGGTGGTCATACTACAGCAGAGAGTTTGGAAGAATATGCGATAAATAATTTTGGGGAATATTTATAATGTAAAATCTTCAATAAATATAGCATCATTAAATGACTTTACTATTATACAGTATATTTCTACCAAACTCACTATTTGCATTGTTGTTGTTAGCATCTGGTTAGCTAGCTGCCGTAACGGATATTAGAAGCTGTTTCTAAAACAAGGAGAAGGAGAGCTCTGTCCTGTCAGACTGAGAGATAACTACAGCTCAGTGATGGAAGGGACTCTGAGTGTTTAGATAGTTAACTTTAGTCTAGTTATCTCAGTGGGTCTCAAACGGTTTGGCCACCATTTATGAGAATAAATGAAAAACAGTTATGAAATACTATATGACAGTAAAACAAGAATACAGTTTAAAAGGTGAGTGATTTGTAAAATATCCATAAAGAAAAAGTACATCTGTTTCATATGGGTGTTGAGAGATGTATCCATACATTTATTTTGCTCTCCAAGTGAATCAGGTTGATGCATTTAACTTCAATATTTAAAAAAAATAAATCTTCCCGGGTGAGCATGCCCCCGGATCCCCCTAGAGGAGGTGAGAACCCCCCACATCCCCCCCCCCATTTGTAAAATAGCACTTTACCTCTGCTTACACCTATATGCCATTTTATATGCTGTGAGCTGATTATCGAGCCTTCATTGTAAGAGTCGCGGGTACACTGTATGTGCGTGTTCCACTGTAGCGCCCGGTACATTAATGAGAAACCCTAGTTTGTACATGTTCAATACATTTGTAACACTGTACACATGGACGCTTCTTTTTTCGGTTCACCAAAAAAAAATCTCACTCCAAGCTGAACTCAAATGTTGGCAGCCCTGTGTTATGTCACGGTTTTAGTTTTGTCTGTCTGGTAATGGGTTTTGTTTTGTTGTTCTGTTCTCCCTATCTCTTGTTTTCCTTCCTGTGTTTTTCCTCCTGTGTCTGATTGTCTCATTGTGTTCACTTGTTGCTCTTGTGTTTCTGCCTCCCTTACCCAGCTGTTTCTTGTCCTGTGATTACCCCTCTCTGTATTTAGTCTTGTTTTCTCCTGTGTGCCTTGTCGGTTCATTGTTTTTCCTTTCTCCCTCCATGTTGGTCACGATCGTTTTTTGGGTGACGTATATNTTAGAACCCCCCACATCCCCCCCCCCATTTGTTAAATAGCACTTTACCTCTGCTTACACCTATGCCATTTTATATGCGGTGAGCTGATTATCGAACCTTCATTGTAAGCGTTGCGGGTACGCTGCGTATGTGCGTATTGCGTACACATAAACGTTTCTTTTTTCGGTTCACCAAAAAAATAATCTCACTCCAAGCTGAACTCAAATGTTGGCGGTCCTGCCTGTGTGGAGTAAAAATACAACGTGTGTGCCCTGTCCTAAATGTGTGTGCAAAATAGGCTGCTTACTAAAAAAAACAATGTCTAGATACAACAGAACTGGGGTTTTTAAGGGTTTTCTGTTCATCTGATGCTAACCTAGCTAGCCTCTCTGTGGACTCCCCTGGCTTAAGGTTTGTCAATATAATATGCAATGTAAAGGCCCAGATACACCGGCCAGTCACCTGAGAAGTCGCCGTCGCCGACGCCGACACCGACTCCTGCGTATTTGCCGACTTCGCGCACTGGAACACACCGCAAATCCGAGACGAGCACGTATGAACTGCGCATGCGTGAGTGGCAATAACTCTCCTTACCAGCAGGCGGCGGTAGTGTGTATTCATCATTCAAAAGAGGCAAAACCGGAACAACCGGAAGACAGAGAAGAAGAACAGACTCCGATATAAACAAACAACAAATAGCGTTTTTCTTTCCATTTTCACTCTCGTCCATTGAAAACCTGAACGAACAGGAGCTCTATAAACCGATGAGGTGAAATAGCCGTCCGTGTGTGTTCCATCTACCATTTGAAATCATTTGTTTACCTCCCTCACTTCCGTTAACGCTTCTCATGCACTGATTCACTAGCTGAACAGCCAATCAGTGTTATCCCTTTGTTCGACTTCCGGTGGTGTTCCCGACGCAACATGTTGAATCGGCAAGAAAAGGCTTCAGGTCGGCAGAAAAGACCCGACAGTGCGGCGCACACCACTCCGAATAGGGCGTGCCCACTGCCGATTTCGGGCCGGTGTATCTGG